ATACTCTGAATTCCATGCTTACAGCCTCTTTCCTTGATCTCCCCTATCTTCCAATCAATACAGAAGACCTTTCAGTAAAGAAGTTTCTCCTGATATCCAACCTAAACTTACCCTGTTGCAACTTGAGGCCATTTCCCATCATCCTGTCACCAGTGAGAAGAGACCAATCCTGATCTCAATGTAAACACCTTTCAGATGTTGGAAGAGAGCAATAAGGTCTCCCCACAGCCTCCTTTTCCCCAAACTAAACAGCCCCAGATCCTTCAGTCACTGCTCATATTCTCCAAGCCTTCCACAAGCCTTGTTGCCCTTCCTTGGACCTGCTCCAGCACCTTCATGTCCTTTCTGTACTGAGGTGCCCGAAACTGAACACAGTACTCGAGGTAAGGCCTCACAAGAGTGACATGGACCTATTGAAGTGTGTCTAGAGGACCACAGAAACGATGGAACACCTCTCCTACAAGTACAGGCTGGGAGCTGGGCCTGAAGAAGATAACGCTCCAAGATGACCTGGTAGCAGCCTTTGAGTATCTAAAAAGAGGCTGTTAAGAAAGAAGAGGTCAGACTCTATAGCAGGGACAGGACGAGGGGAGATGGTTTAAGACATAACCAGCCTAAATCTACCTTCTTTGTAAGAAAAGTCTTTTGCAGTTAGCTTGATGAGACATTGGAACAGGTTGTCCAGAATGGTGGTGGATTCCACATGCCTGGAAACTTTCAAGGCCATGCTGGACAGGGCTCTGAGCATCTCACCTAGCCTGTGAATGTCCCTGTTCAGTGGAGGGGAGTTGGACTAGATGACTGTTAATGGTCCCTTCCTAAGGATTCTACAGTTCAATTAGGAGCTAACAGCAGGCAAAAATCACACAGAGAAGGACCTAACTGGTCCTTCAAAGTCATGCAGGGAAGGATGTAACTGGTGTGTGTAGGGCTGAAAACCTGAGTCCTTAGGACTCTGTCATACATTACAGATTCAAGAAAGAAATAATAAAAATCAGCTTTATGCCATTATTCCTCTTTTTATTCCACTAAATTAACTTTAAGTGTATTCTAAAAAGTAACCTTTTATTTAAAAAATCTAATTGCTTAACCATCTTCTAGCCCTGTGACATAAAATTAGAATGTCAAACATCTTAATGCATTGGCACAAAACTGTCCTATACTATCTAGAAAGTAAAATTACAACAATCTGAAAAATGTCTAGTACTTCAGGTAATGTCAGTTATGGAATAGACTTGATTCTACTAAAAAGTAGTAAGCTTGCATTTATATTGTCACATTACACAGAGGGAAAACTCAACTGGAATGCAACTGATACAACATGGAAAATAAAAGAATAGCCCTGCAAGTATGTGTAATGAAACCATCTAGAAAATAAACCAGTAGTAATAATGAAACATTTTATAATTTCCTCTTGTAATTGATATCAGAAGTATAAAAACTGACAAGGAATCGTGTATTTGTAAGCATTTTCCTGAGCAAAAAAATTAGAATATTTTTTCAAGTTCATAAGAAACAAAGTAAAAGTTAAATTTAGGGCTCCTTTGAGCAGTCCAGTATCAGCTCTCTTACTGAGCATTCTCGAGGTTTGTGAAACACTGAAATAATACAGGACCATAACAGATCTTACCCTCACTCTGTTCAAACAGAAACACTCTGTAATACCCTGAGAAATAGCTCAGATATTATCATATAAATAGGAGAATACTGTAGAGGATGTAGGTGCCATCACAAACCGCAGAACTTCAATTTAAATGTGCTTTAGCACCTCATCAGTAACTGCCTAACTGCATCAGCTTGGCATCACATTAGTGTATTTTTACACACCAATATGCAAAACGTGTTTGTCAGCTGCAAATAGAGCAAATTCCTTTGTATATGACAGCTCCAGGGAAAAGTGTTGCACTTCAAAACCTTTTCCTTGGGTCTGGCAATCAACTTCACAATGCTGTTCCACTGAATCCCAACAAAAATGTTGATATCTTCAGTAGCACATGCTCAAGTCCAGAACAAGTAACGGAAGCAAAATTTTTCTTAACAGTGATGATAAATTATTAGAAATTTATTTCTAATAGATCAATTCAGTCAAAAAAAAAAAAAAAAAAAAAAAACTATATTATGCTCTGTTTTGGTTCCCAAAATATTTCTCTGACATAGAATACATCAACAAAACCAATCACTTCAAAACTTGAAGCATCCAATACTCCAGTGCTTGGCAGTCAGATCCTGTATTTCTTTCCTCATCATGTTAAAGAATCAGGATGAATGATGCATACTTTACTGCACTTTACACAGAGGCAAGGCCAGAGACAGTGTCCCTCTATAAGCAAAATGAGCAATTCTTAAAAGCTGTAGAAATTTTGTGACCAGGCAACTTGCTATAGTAATACAGATGGTAATATATTTTTACATCAGCAAATACATGATTTAACACAAAAAGACTATTTATTCCACTTAGTTGCCATTTGCACAGTCTTTAATGATACAAAATAGCTTGATACCATAGCCAATAGTGAGAAAAACTCTCGTATGTGTTAAAGGCTGAAATAAGTGACACTTTGAGCATCATTTCCTCATAACTTGCTACCAGTACAGATCTTAGTTTGATTCCCTAAAAGGGAAAAAAAATTCTGAATGTGAAACGTTGCAGGTTGTTCCTTTTAGCCAGCTCTTACTAATCTAGTTCAGTCATTTCTGAAACATTAAATATATAATATTGATGAGTTAGAGTCACATCACCTACTTTGATTTATATTGTTCAATTCATTGGGAGTTGGTTTTTGTTTGTTTTTAACTACAGGGCTGTTTTTGTTTTGTTGCTGTTGCATCAATAGATTCAGGACAGGAACAAATAGCTCTAAGCTTGGACAATTATACAGCATATTAATCAGAATACCTATAGAATAATTAAGGACAAAACCAATGATCTTCCTAAGAATAATACCTACAAGGTTTAGACTTGTCTTTAGACTAAGTCTTCAGCTGAATACAACACAAGCAATCTAAAAGATGAACTCTTCCAGTTGTTATTTTCTTTAGCATTTTTTTCAGAGTCAATAAAAATATTAATATAATTTTATTTCTCATCTCTATCATTTTTATGTACTGACACAATATTAACTATACTGTCTTCAAGACATAGGAGGTGATGCTGGACCAATAAAAGGCACAAAAGCATTTCCTTTATGTGCTTCCTGAATTTTCAGAATATCTGAGCACACAGAACGAACTGCATCACTGAAGCTGCATCATATATCACTAATTCAAAACACTTAATCCTGTTTTTCACATTGGCTGAGGCAATACAAACTAAATACAAACTAAGAAGTCCCTCTTTGATAGTGGAATTACACAGAATGTGTACTACTTAAGCCCTCTATCCACATCCACTTGAAGGTAGGCTAGTGAAGTATTCTGGCCATTGTTTTATATTGAGCAGATGGTATTATGAGATTCTTGATAAAGAACAACAATCACTCAACAAAGGTTGCAAAGGGGTCGCTGAAACCAAGATTAGCAATTGATTAGCTTTAATGGACCATGACAGTAATAAACAACAGAGCTCTACACAAAGATTTGATTGTCCCATTAATGCTGCTGACACAAATGGCTTTTAGCTGGCTTCCTCAAAGCGTTAATATCTTCAGAGCCTCAGCAAATGAAGGACTTTGTCAAAGTGAGAACTATCTTGTAGTGAAGAAGTACTTACTGGAGATCTCTAAAAAAAAAGTCTTCTATAAAGTGTGTTTCTCATTTATCCAGACAATAGCTTCTATTTCTTCAAGACAAAGTTCAAAAAACAGCACACCTCTAACAGGGTTGAATGTAACACATCTCTAAAGCATTGGCGTACAGAAGTCAGCATTCATTGAACGCAACAATAATATGAATAATCACTTTCATTGCCCTCATTTTCTCCTTACTCCAACATGCAATGACAGGTCCCAGCATCACAGCCAGCATGCTACACTCGATTTTTTATCCCTAGCTTTTAAGAGTTAACATTTTTTTTTCCTCTCTGCAGCACAGAAAACCGTTACTTGTATCATATTTTCATTAAAATGTTTTGTGATTATTAGATGTAACCATGGTAAAATTCTGAAAACAGAACTTACAGACTTTGTGTATTAATTAGCTAAATATATGGGAAAGCCTACAAAAAAAAACATCTGCTTCTCTTAATGCTTAAGCTCAGGATTTCAATAGACACATGACTAATACTTGCAGGAAGTTTTAAAATTCAATTGAGATAGTTAATGTCAAAGTAAACAAAACTCCACCCAACATGATATTCAGGACACCGAGGATGTAGGAATTCATGGAAGGTAGGAAAACCATTACTCATATAACTCTTGAGAAACATTGTCTATTAAACTTCACATTGTTAGGTTAGATTATGTGTTTTTTTTTAAGATAATCTCATTTTAACTGTTTTATTTAAGCAAAAGCTTTTCTTTCTAACAATTTCAACTGTGAGCTGCCACCACTTCTCCCTGCCATATTAATCCTAAAGGCAACATTTGGAGGCAGTGGCCTGGCTCTGAGGGCTTCCAGGTAGGAAAAAGAAAGTTGCCTGTTTTAGACACAGATCCAAACCACAAACCAATTGCATAAATCAAGGTCATGTTAATCCCATCCCAGAGGATCCCACCTCATCTGCAACTTCAGCTCCCTATTGAACAGTTCCTTGCCAGTATGCTACAAGGATGAAACATGCTGCTAATTACTGGGTTTAAATAACTTGACCTAGGCAGGCACACAAAGAATAGAAAGGAAATCTCTCAGAGTAAAACCTATCTGCTAGGTTTCCCAACACACACCCTGAATCTGTAATCTATCAAAATACTGAGCCAGCTTTCATTAGCTCCATTTTCTATAATCAGCATCCTTCTATTACTCGCATACTTGTCTTTCTACAGCAATTCAGTTCACATGAGGTACGGCATAAATTTTTACAGCATACTCATGATAAATATTGAAAAAGCAAATATTAATTTTACCTGCAAATCAGCATCAAACTCATGTTTCAGGTAAGCATCTTCTGCAGCCTCAACAAGACGCTGGAAAAGAAAGGAAAAAAAAAAAAGGTGTATTTTTGGAATACTTGATAAAATGCCTAAATTGAAGCATTTCTTCCAGTATGACAAGAAAATGGGTTTGAGAACTGTGTAACTCCCCATCTCCATATGATATCTGCTATAGGACTTCGTTAAAATCAGAAAAATGAATAAATAATAATAATAATTAAAAAAAAAAAAGATGAACCAGACCTTAAAAACAGAGACCAGGTTTTCTAAACCTTCAGCATCCATGTTTGGTGGTAAATTCTCAAAAGAGCTCAACCACTAAGAATTAAAGAAAAAAAATAAATGTTATTCGGCCATTTCCCCCTCCCCCCCACAACTGCTCAGCATCCTGCAGCTTTCATTCCGATATCAGTTTTTAAAAAAAACACAAAGGTGCTTTAACACTCTGGACTTCATTTTGCATATAGGAGCCTTTTTCCAGTCTAAACAAGTGGGAGGTATTTCTTAATACTGTACTTGATCACAAGCAACTGAAATAAATATTTTTTAAAATAACACAAGTATGGAAGAATAGAAAAACAGAGATCAAATTCTTCTACTTAGTAAATTTCAAGTGTTGCACATACTACTTTAACATGGTGTATAATCACAACAAGAATTTTCTGTTATGGATGTAATGTTTACTGAATGACAGTAATTTAGTTGTGTTTTTTATTCTTAATACTCAGAACTCTCTACTGTGTTCTGTACTTTTGAAGGACAAAATAAGGCTTGTATTAGAACATAGCTACTTGAAAACTAATTCACACAGGGATTTACTGCAGACATTCTCTTCTGAAAAAAGATAATATCCTTTCTAGGATGTTCTACCCAGGGTTCCTTCCAGTATTTTAAATCTGTCTTTTATTTCAGTTAACCGAAAATTCATCCATGTACAATCCAAAATTAATCAGATTCATCTGTCAAAGAATATTCCAATCATTTTATTTTCTTTGATGTATCAGATACCAGTAATGAACATTTATTTTCATATATACATATTTTTAATCACAAGGCAAGTGAGCTCGACTGCTCATGACTGCTGGTGTTCATGGCACTTCAAGGACAGCTGTGCACCCTTCTGCTTCCAGTTTCATGCACACACTTCTCTGAAGTCTTTGGATATAAACCAAAAAGCAGTCAGAATTCATATCAATTACCATACAATTTAAACTATAACAAAAAGTAAGAAAAAATATCTCTGATTGCCAAATCAGAATAAATAATTCTACAACAAAAAGTGAATGTTTAAAGCAGAGCCTTCTTGGTTAATTTTGCATGCAGCACAGGTCACAGCCTTGCCTTCCCCATCTGGGTCTCATCTCACAGCTTGCAAACCGTATTCTGCCCAGAGGGTTTTTCACACCTTTTACCTTAGTGCAGTGTTATATGTCCCAAGAGAAGATAGAAAATTTGAACCCTAGTGATGCCCAGGTTGATATAGAGGAGCAAGAGACAAAAGACAAAGCCCACAATGAATAGCTCTCATTTGACTGCAAAAAGTCCTGTCTCATGTAAGCCCAGCTGCTTCTTACTAAACTCTTTTAGCCTAATCCAGAACAGAGATGAAGCAGTTCAATGCCAGCAAATTCAAACCAGAATCAAATTGAGAAGTGCATCGGCTCACCTTCCCACAGGCAGAACACAACACATAACAATGCAACACCAGGGTATGTGAGGGGAAGCCATGACACAGTTCTGCAAATAAAACATCAAGTTCTATGGAAGTGCTCCAACTGCTTCTGTGGCATAGTTGCTCTATGCCGTATGACTAACAGTAAAATCACACCCTGTGACTTGGAAAATTGACAAATATTAATTTGACCCACTTTTTTTTAAGCATTACAAATAAGTAATAATAACAAAAGTAGTCCAATTCTTTATTTTTTTTTTATTTTTTAATTATTTTTTTCCAGAATCACAGAATGGCTTGGGTCAAAGATCATTTGACAGGGAAGCCTCAGAGCACTGAGGCTTACACATTTCATTGACCTCAGAAGCTCATCTTTAGCATGGTAATGATCTGATAATATTTAACAAATCTAGTCTTCATTTCTTAATTACAAGGAAGGCATTTTATGTAAAATAAATACTCCAGTGCGTTTCCAGAGGTATGCATCACTTTATAGAAGACCAAGAGCTGCATTACTATTCTGTGCACATGTAAAACACTGATGAGTATTTTCTAAACGCAACAGATCTAAAAAGTGAAATAAAGGCCAAAAAAAATCTTAACACGGAAATAAATACAGGGGAAAAAGGGATGTTTCTTTTTCTGTGGTGAAACACACACTTAACAGAAGAAAAATTATGATAGTATTTAATGAAATACCATTACCTAGTAGGCTGGAAAAATAATTCACGGCTTCATACATAATGTGAATTGATCCCAATGTGTTTCAATTACATTTTTGCCACAGTAAATATAAACTATAATTCATACCCACATGTAAGAAACAGCTAAAGAAGCATATAGCAAAAAGAGAAGCAATAGCAAAAACAGCTGGCAAGAAGAGCAGCACAGAAATGGAAAGTAACAACTGATACTCTATTGATTTTTCATTTAAATTTCAGTTGCTGTATTTGTTGTTCTGAAAAAATGTTATGTACCTCTCAGCATTCTTTCAGTACAACAGTCTCTGTAGGAAACAGAGCAAACAAATGTTCACTCTACAGACTCATTCCCTTGGACAAACAGACATAAACATACATGCACACTATGAGCTTCACCCTTACAAAGCTAACGAGAAAACTTATATTTTGGTACACTGAAGGTAGACAACAAGCATGTATTGCATTTTCTATAACATTTTCTGTATATATTTTCTGTAATAGTCTTTAATTCCAAAGGTTCCTTTAAATATCACAGCACCACCACGAAGGAGACTGAGAAATCTGAGTGATAAAAATTTGTATAAATAACACTGAAACATTCTTATTCTAGGGCCAATGATAACCTTTTGAAGTATTTTCATGATTGAACAGTTATTTAGCAAAGATAGCTCAACATTTTGCACGATTAGAGATTTTAACAGTTTATAATGACACTCTTAATACAAATGCCTATATATTTTTATTAAAGTAAACATGCTCTAAAATCAGTGCGAGAGGGAATAAATGCTCACCAAGCTGTGATTACCCTGCACATACAAGTCGAAGGCATCATATAATACTTAAGGAGCAGTTTTTATGCTGTATAGCACAGTTTATCTGAAGAACCACATGTTAAAAGGCTGATTCTTACAATTTCCAAATACATAAATTTTAGGAAGATGAACTCAACTAAAATATCAAAATGCATCACACATAAGAATGGGGAATGAAATAGAGAATGGAAGAAAAACTGCACCCCCAAAAAGACACAAAAATGTTCACCAAATTACAAAGCCAAAGTTAGATGTTTTTAGTGCTACTTGTATCACAAATAATGTAGAGCAGATAGAGAGAAAAAAATTGTTTTTCCTCAATAATATTAAAAAATTCCCCTGGCTATCTCTGAACAGGATTGTTTGCTTGACAAAGGTGAATGAGACAGGATGAGTAGGGAAAAAAACAGAAGCCAACAGAAATCAAGATAAAATGGAGTGGAGAGGAAAAAAGGTGAAAATGCTTAAAGAAAGAGAAGAGGAAAATTACAATTTTTACAAAAAATGAAGAAAATAGAAAATAGGTAGGGTACCTGTTTTAACTCCTGAGCACTAAACTTATCCATAAAAGCCACCTGACGTTACATTCCTTTCTCTCTACAGCTATCAAAACTAGAAGAAACATTTCTATTTGATTGATTCCTTTCTCTTTTTTCTAAGGTAAAACAATTGCCATGCATAGAGCCAGAAATGCAGCTAGAAATTTCTTCCTTCTCCAAATCAAACTGCCACAAATTTCAAAGGAGAACAGAAGACTGCTCTACCATACTCCTAATACCACTTTGGTACTGATACTATTTTAGTCCATAGCATTCATAGTTTATATTCCATAACATTAAGATAAAAAACCCACTTCAAAACAGTAAAAAATGCTATATTATGATATTTAAACACAATACCTCAAAGCAATAGGATATGAAAGATCAACCCACTCAATCGTAGATGCTCCTTTGTTCAGTCCTCGCCTCACAGCTAAAAAAGTACCCAAGGAGCACAGCATGATTTCTATCTGTTAATTCACATCAAACACCTTCTACCAGCACATTCTTCCAAAGTCACTAGACTACGTCTTAACAATTCCTTCAGTACGTTGCCAGTTAGAGCTGCTACCTCCACACTGTGATGCACAGTGAAAAATCCAGAGTCTGCAAGAATTCCAGGCAGGATACTTTAAACCAGGGACACTGCCCTGAGAAGTGGAGCAAAGTAAAATAAATAAATAAATAAATAAATGTGTGCATAAATCTGTAAGAGGCTCTTATATTTTAGCATCTAAATATATCAATTGCAACATGAAAAAGAAAAAAAAAGGTTCAACTCAATATATTTTTTCATCTTTTCCTCATGGCAGCACATCTGATATTCACCATCTACACAAACCATAGAATCATTAAGGTTGGAAAAGACCTTTAAGATCATCTAGTACAACTGACCACCTACCACCAATATTGCTTATTTACCGTGTCCCCAAGTACCACATCTACCCTTTCCTCAAACACCTCTGTGGACAGCGAGTTCCAATGCCCAACCACTCCTTCCAGGAAGAAATTCTTCCTAACATCCAACCTGAGCCTCCCCTGAAATCTTGTATAATTCTTCAGAGAGCACTGAAGATATGTTTTGGAGGTGAAAAGTAATTAAAAGCTTTTCTGATTAAATAACAAAAGGGAAGAAAAAAACACAACAAAAAGCGTAAACTCAAGAACATTCTAAGAACATAAGTTCATGCTGAAAAACAACTGCATGTAGGAAAAAACAGGAATTTATGAAAGCTCAAAACCTGTCTACCAGACTTTGTACAATATTGTAATCAGGGTTTCTGTCTCAACCAAATGCAAACAAACTTTG